CCGCCAAAGCAATCCTGGCAATTATTTCCGGTTATCGAGTACAAACGGCTCTGACGATCGAATGGCTCTCTAAAACGTTTTGTTCTTAAATCCTTATATACTGCAATTGTATGTATATATGTACGATTTTTTTTCCTAGGTGAATCGAGATGCTCGGGAACAAACAGTGGAGAGTATCTGGGGGATAACGGAACAGCTCAATATCCTCTATCGTGAGAATTGGACGCGTCTCGCTGAGCAAGAGATAGCGAGATTTCAGGATAAACTTGTGAAAAAAATAACTGAAAATATAATGGCCAGTCAGCAGACAGTTACATACACTGGTGCCAATGCAGATGGACCGACTAGTGAGCGCAAAGTGCCGGATTACGAGTGGAATTTCGCTAAGGCATTCCTCTACTCGCTCACTGTGCTCACCACAATCGGTGAGTAATTGACCAAAAACGGGGTGCAGTTGCTGCGGGAGGGAAAAAAATGTGTCGTTCTCGCCGGGAGGAAACGTGTAATTAAATCGAGTGTGTCGGGCTGAGCCCCGGAGCGACCTCTCCGGTCGGCTTTTTTGGGGACTTTTTTCGGGGGAGAGCCACGACGACTCGCCCCGCGAATTTCGGGAGTTCGGAGCGAGTGTTAAAGGAGCTCTGCCCTTACGGCTCCAGTCGTTGAGTGCACTGGTAGAAGACTGCTCGGGAATTTCAAGTGAAGGAGCTTGACATTTTTAACAATGATACTGTATATTTCTTCATTGACGAATCAGTTGATTTCTTGATTCGTTTCACGTCAATCGCGATTTTCAAGTCCATTCGGCACGGAAAAACCTTGAAAACTTTTCGGAACTCGTAATCTATTCAAAAGTTTGGAAATTCAAGCTTTCATTGGAAAATTAATTAATTAAGTAATCATGTTAATTTGTTCAACGTGAAAAAGCCAATTTTCTTGAATTGTCAAGATGAATGAGAAAATCGGTCGGTTTTAAGCAGACTTGAAACATGAAATTTCATAGCCTTTTTTTCCCTACATCCAATTCAATGTCACTCTCGAGAGATCTACTATAATATCTTCCACGAAATTTCAAAACAATTCGAAACACAGGAGATTCCGCGATTTTAGGTAAAAATTACGTGACAGTTCCGTAAAATTTCATACAACCACATTTCGCTCCGGAATTACGGAAACGATACGTAATTTTTATTGAATATTTCTCTCCGTGCAGTACAAAACGTCTGAATAAAACGAAAATTTGTCTGAATTTCAAAAATAAATTGAGATTTTTGGGCAGCTGTTCATCTGAAATTCAGACGCATTTTCATTTTATTCATATATTTTTTAGTGTCTGAAAAATGTCAATCACAAAAGGTGTGTGAAATTCAGACATTCGTTTTCGCTGCGATCCATCCGAAAACTTAACCGCACAAATACCCAAAATTCTCGATGCGCGAAACCACGTTCATAACACAGGATAATTCTCACTGAGGAAGCTAGTATATTTACTCGCAATTAGAAGGTCAAAACGACGATAGTGCCTGAGGGTAGGTCTATGCAATAGATATAGAGATACTGTCGGAAGTTACATGCTGGTAAGACATTCACACAGGTTGGATAATTACAATGAGCAAATACTCTACAATTAAACCACCCTGTTGTAGTCTCCGTAGCAGCCGGCTTGGTCACATCGCCTCAGGATACCATTGTTTGAGTCAACGCCACTATTTAACAAGCTAAATACAGCTACAGCAGTCGCAACCATCGTTCACCTTGTCTTTCACCTTCATCTCCATTCATTTTCAACTGTGTTTGCATCTGGGTCTAGGCCCTTAATTCAGCAATTTCGATTCACCGACCTCCAAGTTGGAGTGATGCTGCTGTCTTCAAGACAATGTTGATCCTCATCGTTTCCCTTAAAAAATAGAGTCGATGGAGTTGAGGTGGAGGAACGGTTTTGTTGGACTTCCGTGGAGAGTCAATTCCGGAGGCATCTGTTTAATGGATGTTGTGGAAAGTTTGAACAAACTTATTGAAAGTTGTTGCTCACTGATTTCCTGTTCTCAATTTTTTCAGCTACTGATCGATATTTCCGTTTAGCACTATTTAAGTTAACGTAGTCCCTTGCGACACTCTCACAATCCATCGTCATAATATTTTGATATTTTTTTTGCAGCGTCAATTTCAAAATTATGCAAAATATACATAGTTCAAGCACCACAATTTCCACAATCGTCAACCTCGTTAAATTCCACGGAAAAATTATATTCTGCATCAGCAAATATTATCATTCCTTCACGAAGATACAATTAAAATTCAAATTACAACTCAACAATTCCATTTTTCCCACAGGGGAAAAGAATGATTCCGTTTGTAATGACAAAATTATGATTCAACTGTAATGAAAAAGTCACAGAAAATGAGCGCGAGGTGAGGAGATAATTAATCCATTCTACCGTAGTTTCCATCATCCCAGCCGCGGCCCATTACTGCATTTTCCATCTTCTCTATGCACCCCGCCCCCTCGCCCTGTCCATCTCATCTTTCTATACGCGAGGGGGAAGCCACTCAACATTTTCCACTTTTTCCTTTCATTCGTTTTGTTCTGAACATTTCCGCAGACTTGTTTTCCTTTCATATTTTTTTCCGCTTCACTCTCTTAATACTCTCTTTCCTCTCGTTTCATTTTTCCTCTCAATACTTCTTTTTTAATCATTTTCTGCACGACAGTTAATTACTGAAAGTATTGCGGCACGTTTTATCGACTCGTCGGAGCATGAAAATATTGTCCCGGGTAAAATACCTCTGCTCGGTCCTATTTTAAACGGCTTATCGTTCATTCAGGAAGTTTCGATATAGTTATCATTCACCTCTTTTCACTTTTTTTCACGATTCTGTCTTGCATTTTTTAAACTTCTTAGACGAATATTTCAATGAGATTCCAATAGCGGGATCACCTGGAGACGATGACAAATTCTCATTTTTTTGGCTCAAATAGAAGTTTCGGGAGTCGGAAAATTATTTTCGCAGAGGGATTAATTCAGTAGCGAAGCGGTAAACCGGGTTAAGTCGATTTTTCCTTTTGGCCATTTTTTGATGAATATCTCGGAATCTAAGAGAGATAGCAAAACTTTGCTCATGACCTTTTTTGTAACCCTCAGTTGGCTCTACAAAAAAGGTTATGACAACAATTTTTGTATCTCTTTTAGATTCCGAGATATTCGTCAAAAACTGGCCAACAGTTAAAATCGACTTAACCCGGTTTACCGCTTCGCTCCTGAATTGTTAGCACGGGAAAAAGGGCGCAAAGTGATGGGAAATTCCAGGGCCAGGAATTCCAGGCACTGGAAATTTTATTGAGTAGCGCGTGAATTTTTCCCATTCCCACATGACATTTTTGCACAAGTCCCTAGAAATTTTATCTTAAAAATATCGCCTAAGTCAAGTACTTTTGCCTTATTTGTGAAAACTACTCTCAGATTTTCCATGAATTTCACAATTTCCTCCAATAATTTATCACTGATTGGAGAAAAGACATTTGCGAGAGGTTGAATACTCGGAGCGGATGAAATCGCTGACAACTTTCCATATTTCCTGTTACCAAATAGAAGTTCTAGTTTCAGGAAAATAGCTCTCAGAATAACGAATCAACGTCCTTATCGCGGATAGAGTTTCCCGGAGAATCTTAATAATCTAAAGCTCAGTTCAAGATTCCACTCCACCAAAGGCTATTCTCCATGATTCGTATGGGAAACTTTATATCGTCCAACGCACTTCAGTCAACTTAACTTTTCCAATTTAAAATGTCTATCACCGATCGGAAAGAAGACACCTCTGATGTGATATTTCTGTCTTTCTAACTTGAACGAGAACATTTTCTTTCCCGAGGATTATGTTCAAACGTGCGGGTGAAATGAAGATGGAAGTACGCCATAACACTTCTGATTTGATGAGAAAAATAATTTGTCACGTGAATGATTTATTTAGTCAATTTTATTTTTCTTTCTAGCTGGATTGTCCGCTTGATAAGTTGAACATCCGTAAACCTGTTTGTTTCTCAAGCATCTGTCCATTTCCATATTAATAATGGACACTGAAATCATCGGAATCGAAATCGTTCAAATCAAAATTGTTTATCATTTTTTCTGCATTTTTAATTCATCTTTCCTTGTTACTCTCAATGTCTCCCTGTAGTGTGTTCGTACTACTTCGAGAGATGGAATATTCACACTAGAAAAACTGGGGCTCATGCAAAGAGATATGGTTTGATATTGAAAGCGATTTGAATTGGTTCGGAGTTCACAATAATTCATATTATTTAAAGCACTTTAATATTTCATGAGTCTTAATTAATTTATTCATTCGCACATTAATGTTGCACGAAATAAAATATAAATTGAATAATTTGAGCAGTAATTCCGACTAATGAATAATTTTTCAACAAAACTAATAAATATTTAATTGTAAAAAAGATGTGATTCGAGAACATTTCTGGACTCTGTGAATAAATCATATTGGACTCACATATTTTCCACGCATACTTTTTCATTGAGGTTCGTTACAACACTTCAGAGAATTCCCATAAATTATCAAACAAGCGAATTCCTTCTGAAAGTAACATTTTTCATACCAAAGAGAAATGTGGAGAAATTCAATACGCTGAATGCCTGTTTTTATATCTCCAACATCCGCTCCTGAGAGTGCGCTTTCATACCACTTCTGGAATATTTCAAGCAGAAATAAACGGCTCCAGCATTAATCTTGAAATTTTAATGGTTTGCATGAGATCACCTTAGCACGTTAAATAATTCCAGAGTTGAAGAAAAATGTTGCAACGGAAAAAAATTGGAGCAAAAATATTTTCTCCAGTTTCAATTCAGGGACGCGTGTGTGTATGCTACGAACTGTTGAACCGGATGGAGGTACGGTGGATTGTTGGGTCGGGCAGTAGAGCACTGCATGAACTCGTACCGGTCCATTTTTCGAATCACCTGCGAGTAGATAGGAATATCGTGCAAGGAGAACAATACAAGGAAAACAAAAGTTTTGATTTCCAGGGATATGTTACTGATTTTCGGGAACTCCACGCACGAAAAAATTTTATAAAAAAAATTGAAAATTTATAAAATTAAAAATTCCTAAAAATTTTATGAAATTATTAGGAATTGTCAGCAATTTTTAGTGTCATTATCACTAATTCTGAATGGAAAAATTACTAATTTTCATAGGATTGTCACTGATGATCAAGGTTATCCTAGTCAGTGTCCGTATCACCAATAATCAATGATACACGCCCAAAAATCATTGACATATCCCTGGAAATCAGTGACACAATGAAACCGAGGGGAGAATATTTTTTGAATATTTGAATGAATAGTTTGAAAGTCTACACAATATCAATATCATTCGAGCGTTATCGAATAGGGGTTTTGTCGCGGGTTTACGAATTTTCACCGAAGTAAGCCGAGTTATTGATGAGGCATAATCAATCAAAATGTTGGTTGTATCATTTACCCCGCGGTATTGATACAGCTGTGACAATGAGAGCGCATTAATTATAATTTATTGATGTTTGCGCAGTCTCAATTAATTGTCGAAATGTTTTGTGCGAATGTATAAATGAATATTTGTATATGAATGGATGGAGGGATGTCAATAGTGACAGCTCGGCTTGAGAGAGTGTTGAACAAGTTGATTGTTCGTGAATACGGGGTAATCGACGCGATAGTCGAATAATTTTATGTTGTGCTTGTGCTGACGACGCGTGATCCAAAAGCTAGCGAATTAAAACTCCGAGGAACGGCTTTGCAATAATTAAAACAATAATCCACTTAAAGTCACTGAATACTTAATAAAACAAAATGCCGATAACAATATTTCAGAAGACAAAAGACTTCATCATTTAGAAATGGAATAATTATTTAGACCAAATGATTTTTTTTTAAATAATAGAAACACTTTCATTGAGACTTCTCAATTAAGGGTTACAAGCGTCGAAATAATGGTCACAAGGGTCAGGATAAGGGTCACAAGGGTCAGAATAACGATGATAAATTTCTAGCAAAAAACTTGTCGACACAAATAAAAAATTCGGACTTGTCACTGTAGTTCTGCGGTTGATATTAATCACCCCGAAATCAATCCAAAAATTCTCAACATAGAATCTTCCTCAGAGTTTCAAGATACCGAATATATTTTTTTCTATCTCCTCCTTTCACATACATTCCGGTTTCTCACAAGTTCTAGTGCAACGAATGCTGCGAACCGTAACCCGAGCGCACATTGAAAACGAGCAAACATACCCAAGCAGAGATACGCAAACAGTTGAAGGAGGAAAAGTAGGGTTGTATTTGGCGTCGCTTTGACGCCACTTTTTTCGTATGAAACCCCACAGCCACATTTCTCCATCTGCGTTCCACCCCCGCATCACTGGGCTCTCCTATCCTCCACCTAGTTCGATGTATGACTTGAATTTTCCGGGCACAACCCAACACAAATCCTTTCCCACCGAGAAGAGCGATTTACCTTTTCAGGTTGCCAAGCAACTGTGAAATCGCTGGCACGTGGTATAACCAAGACTCCGGGATACTGTGCACAGTGCCTATTTGGATTTTGTTTCATTTCAACTATTTGCTGAGACGGGGAACTTTCGTTTATATGGAGGAATATTTGACCATTAATCAGGAGTTATATTCTCTCGGATATTTGAGCACAGACTTCAGCCAAATTGTGCCTCTACTTTGATTAAATTTCCTTTCCACACAAGCGGAATTAATTTTCTGATGCGGGAGACGAAATTCCGGAAGAGCTAACTGAAATTATTTAAGAGGACAATGAAATTTGGTTGGGCCTCGTACAGCCTTGGCCAATTATCTTATTTTGCCACTTCGGAGTCGGTCGCAAAACGTGGGAGGGGAGGGGGTAAAAGTTACAAAGAAAGTTACACTGTTAGAAATTTTTTGAAATTTAAATTGCTCATGGAATTCCTGATTCATCTTGGAAATTCAATAAAACCGAGTCTTCGATTATGAATGATCATTGTATTTTTAATGACAATTTGGATTTTCAAACCTATCGCGAAAATTAAGCAACAGATTGAAAATTCAGAAGAAAAGTTGCACACATAAAGTATCCATCCGAAGAATGCCCCTTTGAGTTCCCAGCGCGAGGTCACGCACGAACATTTGGCTGGCTGCCCTCCACGGACTTGGTAACATCAACTCAGTACGAGTTGTTCTGGCTTATTACCAAGAGTGAGCGTACACAAGTGTACAGTAGTGTATGAAAACCCCGTTAACACATTTTCCTCCTGAACTGAAAAATTTTCAATGCGAGACGCCTTCAGAGAGCCTCCCCCCCGCTGTCATCCATTGATGTAAATGACACAAAAAACCATTAGAGAATAACACGGAAGAATGAGTGATCACCTTGAGGAGTCCATTAATCAAGACCGATGGTTACTTCTGTGTCATTATATAATCTCGACATCGCAGCCTCTCCATCCACTGTTCCTGTCTCATTTGTTCGTCGGGTATATAGAGCGCACGACCCGGCGAATGGACTCCTCTCTTCTGCTTGGCAGCTGTGTGAGTGGATGTGACACGTGAAAGAGACGACCGGGCGACTGCCACCCTCAACCCCTCCACCTCCTCTCTTTCTAATTGTTTTTCCTTTCCTTTCTCAACGACAAAAAAATTGGAGAGAAGAGGCACGCTAAACAGGACACGAAGACAACTGGTGTTGTGCGCGGGAAACGTGAGTATGAGTGACCCGAGAGAACGGGGTTGGAGTGGTCTATCTGAATTCTGAGAGCAGCACATATCTTGCCCGGTAGCTTCGCGAATTTTAATCAAGGCCGAGGTGAAGATGCTGACGAGTGCCTGCAGAGCTCTCTGCTAATGGATTGCCAGGCATTCGGAGGCTGCACTAATAACAATTTGTTTCGAGGTTTTCAATTTTTCAACTCGGAGTTTTTCTCCGCGGGCTCATGGGACGCGGGATTTTTGCTTGAGAGCTTTGATGGGAATATCAGCCTATATGGCCCGCTCCCCTATTTGTTCTCGCCGGCGATAGATTTTTCATAGTCTAAACTAAATGGCTTGTGGTTTTTTTTTCAATATCTTGAGTGTCTAACTCATGCAACATCTCGATCAAAGTCCACGCGGTCACGTTTCTTCTCTAAGCGTAATGTTACAAGACGTGATTTTCAGAAATTAATTTCTGACTAGGCTGCCCCGATGGAAGGATTAAGATAAATACTATAACGTGTGGCTCAAATATGAAGCTGGCATATGAGACAATATCAAAATTATGGTGAATAGTGTGGGTTTTGGATAAAAATCTTTCATGTGGGCGTGAATACAAATCAAATCAACCGAAATTCAACTTATAATAAATTCTTCCTTTCGCTCAAACTTCAGTCCGAGAGTTGGGTTTTGCAGATTTCCGCCGCGCTGCGAAGTACCACAACTTGAACTTTTCCATCTGAAATGACAGGAAGCATAAAGATTGACGAATCCTCATCTAAGCGAACTGAGGCAACAATTAATCACCCACCATTCTCGTTATTCAATTGTCCTTCGAGAAACGCTGCATCGATTGAGTTCATCCTCTCCGTTAGCCGAATTTCCTGAGCTACGAGCCAGTAGTTCATTGATTGCGTTTTGCCGATCACTATTGCGCTGACGAGTCACACGCCTTAAATTTTTACTTGTACATTCGTGAATCATAAGGCCTAGATTTCTCCAGCTGAAACGATAGAAAGTAAAAAAGACTGATGAATATTTTTATATTCAGCCGAATGCCAACACCGAGAGATTGCCTACCATTCTCGTCGTTCTATTTTCCTATCAGGAACGCTCGGCAGATCCAGTTTCATCTTCCGCTTAGCCGAATTTCCGAACCGATGAACCAGTAGTTCTCCAATAAAAACGCCCACAGCAAAGAAATATCCCAATGCACAGAGAAAAATGAGTTCTCTCAGTAATTGAAACCGCGATTCTTCCGTCCTTCTTTTGTCCATCGCGTCTGTACGCTGAAGTAGGGCACGCAACCTTGAATGGCTGTCAGGATCTGAATACCGGGAGCGCAAAAAACCTGCTTGGCGAAGTCTGTTGATAACCTCAATCATTTCATTTGTACCGGGGATATTGTGTCGAAACCACATACATTCAGTTTGAACCGCAAAAACGGGTTTTGCGATTTTCAGTTGATATCGAGCTATGGTTCTACCATACCAGAATGTCAAAACTTCGAATATTCCTCTGTCCATTAGACAACAAACATGACGATACTGTTCTGCCTGTTTCAGACAAGATACTATGCTTTCATTGACAGATTTATTTTTCAAATTGAATTTAGCCCCATCTGCTGTCTTGAAAGCTGGATAAAAATTGTACTTATTCACCATTGGTGTCGAGCATAAATTATCAATTTGTTCGAATGTTTCATACTCATTTTCCACAAAAAGATCAATACCAAGATTTGTTAAAAACCCATAAATATCATTGGAGAACATAAAAGCGACCATGACGACGGTGAAGAATAATATCCTCTGGTTTGTTTTTAAGGGCTGATTAGGTACTGTGATTGAGAGCAGTGTACTGAAAATGGCTAATGCGCTCCACGTTTTATTATCAAATTTTAAAATAATCGCGACTAACCAAATCAGTGCAAATATGACGAATGAAATGACAGTACTCGCAACAGCATTATTTATCAGATTTTGATTTATTGTATAGGTGGTCGGCATTACCATAACCAGATCGCGATCTTCCATTTCCTCCAAGAAGAAGATTTTCATTTTTGTACTAGGCAACGACGCGGCTGAATACGGACCCATTATATCTATTTTTCCAACTTTATTATCGAAGTCAATCAAAGCGTCGACGGAGTTGCGGTTCCATTTGCTTGGTAAAAGTAGTTCCTTAGTAGTGAAGTTCAATACTCGACTCATGTCTTTATACAATTCGGTTCTCAAGAACAACAGGGGGAACATTTGGTATTCATTTTTATGTTGGCCGTATCGAAGTCGCGAATTATGGTTAGGAATTGATTTCATTACATAACCATGCATATTTTTTGCAAAATTGGGAAATAACTTGACCCCGTCGTGAAATTCTTCGTGAAAGAATTGTTTGCTGAAAAAATTGAACTGATGCATTATCAGTTTGACTGAACTGGCTTCGTTGACTTTTCCATTCACTCTGTAACATTTCAATTTTCCGTAACCAAGAGATTTTGCATTATCTGCGGTTATTTCATTGCGCTTTTTAGAGTTTAACCGACGAATCTCGACAATCAAGATTTTCGACATTGATAGGTCCCAGGCATACTGCAGGATAGTTTCTACAGATCGAGTCAGATTCGATGATGTTCTCAATACGATGAGAATATAGTTTACAGAAAAATCTGTTAGATTCTTCATCGCATGCATCGTTTCGTATATTTGGACATTGTCACCAGAGTAGTCTGCATAGAATATGAACAGCAGAGAAGTGGATTTTACTGATACAACACCAAAATCCTGTTCTTTCAAGTTGATAACTCCACCGTCCACTTCAACTATCACACTTGGCATGGTCCCCATGATTTTACCAAACAATTCGTTCTTCACTGCATCAGAGTAATCTGTACTACGTTGATGTATAATCAATGCTGTGTGGACTTCGCCTGAGCGAAATAGACGTGTAGTCACGCTGTCAAACCAGTCAACTTCTGGACGACTTTGGATTTCGTCTGCTAGAATTGCGATGAGAACGATCATCAGTGAAGTCTTTGTAATAGACATGATTGATCGCTGTTTTGAGGTGAAATGTTATTCAAGAAGACGGGAACTGCTGATCAAAGTAGATTTTGATATCAGCGCGGAACTGAATTTCGATTTTGCATGATAAATTGAATAATGATGGCGTCAATTCATTCTCTGAAACAGTTGTACCCAATGATATTTACGAATAATTCAATTGTAGAATTTCACAAACACTGATAATTGTCTGTTATGACTGTTCATCAGAAGGTGATGAGTTTTACTGTTAATTTTCACTGAAAATGTCACTGATAATTCACATTAAATTAAGTTCCATCACAATGAACTGCACAACGATCACCAACATAATGATGTACGTGCAAAATGCGTTGAGATACATTAGGAATCCACAATGAATCGGTGAAAATAGCTAAATAACTTCTACCCCGAACGGCGCTCAGCGATTATTGAATGTCGTTGATTAACCAACAGCGGTTGGTGAGGAACTTGCGCCGTGAAGAGCGATTTGTACGAACAAAAATAGTATTTTCCATGTTTTGAATGAATGATGAGATTTTCCTGATTGTTACCTGTTTTGTGAGTGATCATTGACTTGTTTAAGGAAAAATTCCAACGTACTGTAATATAATGGATGATGGATTGTTTTTCGGAAAAAATAAAAGGTGAATATTATATCACATGGTAAGGGCGGAATAATATATTGTGTTGTGCTATCTTCACATTCAATATTGAAGGAATGGTGATGAAAATAACGAAATAATGGCAGACGAGGAAATACCGGGAATTTTTCAGCGGAAAAAAAGTGGGTTTCAAACTCTCGGATTTTTCTTCAATGCGAGAGATTCAAATCTCGCAGGTCTTCCAGTCTCCCTCGTGTTACGTCCTCCGGTTTCTGTGTCAGCATCTTTGAGCCCTACGAAAGAGGAAGGGAAAATGTGGAGAAAGAAAGGGCTGCTTCTGCCACACCCCTTATACCCTTTCGTGAAACCGGTCTTTTCATTTTCCATTTTCTTTATCTTCCCGAGCTCTCAGTAAAATTTGCGCATCACGACGGATTTTCTTCTATTTCTCTGAATTTATGAACAACACTATTAGAATTTGAATTCAATTTCAGACTAAATTGCTCATGGAATTCCTGATTCATCTTGGAAATTCAAAAGAAAAGTTGCCTGAATTTTCATGATTTTTAGTCATTTTCATTGCGGTGTGAGTTTGAGTGAATATATTATATTATATTATATTATATTATATTATATTATATTATATTATATTATATTATATTATATTATATTATATTTCTCTCAATCTACTCCTATCAGTAGTTCAACAACATCACGGTCAACGGTATTTCAAAATTTCACCTGCTCTCGAACCAATGAACATTTTCCGTGTTAAAACCCATCACGCCAGTCTTCAATTACATCTGGTACTTCTCTCCACTCCCTATATTGCCAACTCAACCCATATTACATACCGGTGTTTGGTCTCTGCTGAGCGAAATAGTCCAGAAGAATTTTCCTCCCAGGGGTTGCCGTGCGCCTCTGGACCCAAGGAGGCAACTTTCTAATAACTGTTTTCTCTCTCGCTCGAGAAAATACAGTGAAATTGGACGGGAATTCCGAACGTGGGGCTCGGATAGCTTTATATATTTTCGAGAAAGCTTTTCCAGGACGTTCATTCGTTATTGAAGTTCAAGTTTTGCATTGGGGATCCTTCTTTCTTCAGCGCACGGCAATCAATTTTGGGAGCAAAGGAAATACTTAATGGGACTTTCGCTCAAGTTTCATATAAACAGCCGGAATGGAGACATTAATTACACAATGGAGGTAACAAACTCCTGGGAGAAATGAGCATTGAAAAGTTTGGAAAGTGCAGCGGGAGTTCGCTCACAAATAGTTGAAAATGTGGACATTATTTCGGTGACAGAATATCAATTTTCGTTTTGAGGAAAACGGAGAACGAAATATGATAAAACGGTAGCCACAGCAGCGGATCAATTTTATTCCCCTCTTTTGACAGATATTCCCCACATTTTAGTGAGAACTCTCATGTACGCAGGGAGAAAAAATTAGCTTTGCCGAAAATATGATCCACGCGAGAATATTTGATGGAGTGGAACAGATTTACTCGAGGGAAATTAACCGACTTGATGGAAGGGAATTCATTTTTTTTTGCAAGAATAAAATAGAAAAGAATATTTTTTCAAAAAAAAATTGTCCCCGTGAAATTATTTAGTTATGTTGAGTTGTTATTTTTTGAGGTATAAACCGCTATTAGATACAAACAATCAAATAATTAACAACTCAATCAATTAGATGTGGGATCACACCCCATCTAAAGGCGAGTCCGTGTGCCTCCGAATTTTTTAATTTGTGCATTGTTAATTATTTAATTCAGTAGCGAAGTGGTGAAACGGTACAAGTCAATTTTGACTATTGACCAGTTTTCAATGAATATCTCGGAATCTAAGGGAGATAGCAAAATTTTCGTTATAACCTTTTTTGTAGAGCCGATTGAGAGCTACAAGAAATGTAATTATAAAAATTTTGCCATCTCTCTTAGATTCGGAAAAATTCCTTAAAAACCCAACTGGGAGATAAGTCGACTTAAACCGCTTTACTACTCCGCTACTGAATTGTTTCCCTCGTAATTTATAATTTATATCTTATAAAATATCCAAAGTTTGAGCGAGTGAAATAACCCTGGGGGAACACAGAAATTTTGGAAAATATCCAGAACGATAATTTTGGGGAAAGAAATTGATCGGGTGTCATTGACTGATCACGCGGTCCTCGCAATTTTTTCTCAACCGCTTTGTTACATTTTATCGCATTTATCTTCATAACACTATGTAACAAAAACAAACACGCTATTCAATTCGCAAAAATACGTTCCTATGAGTCACAACAAGGTATATTTACCCACGAACTTGTCTGCTGGAAAACATTGACAAAAATATAGTGTTGTTTGTGTTCGATATTGTGTTGTTCTATTCTCTCCGCACCGGTGGATATGACAGCATTCTGGGCGGCGAGGGGGGGAGGGGGAATTGAAAGATAATTTCTCATTTTTTAGTAGAATCTCTAGAGGTTGTGGACGAACAAAATTGATGGGGCGGAAAAATTTTTGATGAATTTATTGATGAGACTTGAAGATAAAGATTTTTCTTTTTTTAACAAAAATCACATTTTCATATATTTTTTGAAAGAAATTCGATTGTGTTTTCTAATTATTTTTCTGTACAACCAATAAGATGAGTAAATTTTGATTAACTGCAACGAAAAAAAAAATTTAATTCAAATACAAAAATTTGTTTAGCCTAGGAAAAATGGATGTTTGATATTGAAAAAAAATTATTTGAAGCAAACAAAAATTCATTAGTAATAATTAATTATTCAAATGATTAGAATAAATAACTTTTCTGGGCATATGAACTTTTGTTCACAAATCTTCAAGGAAAATTTCAACTCAGAATGTTCAACAGCATGTAATGCCCCTTAATCCCTAATGAAAAAGTTATTCTATTACCACCAGCATATAACATTCGTCCGTTAGGAAAAAAATCAACGATAAATTTCCATTTTTAATTGAAATCTCCAGTGACCGCGTACAAACTTAACGCGACGGAAAAAGTCAACTCTTCTCTTCACGTCATTAAACTCTGAAAACACACAAAAACTAACTTCCAGTATTCGTCGTGATGTCTCGGAAAGTGGAAGTCGATTTCTTTTTGTACTTTCGCGCCCAGGCTCTCGCGGTCATTCGGGTAATGGCAGTAGACAGCGAATGAATGAGAGAAAACGAGAGAGATGTGCGGTAAAAGTGGTGGGAGGGAGAGACGCCGCGGGCTTTCCTGTCGCTCGTTGTCCACACGGTAGGGCAAAGCATTCACCCGAGAAATTTGCAATTAAAATTGGACGGTAGAAGTGCTCGTTAATTAACGCGTGGTTCATTATGCGTGCCTCTGATTTTTTTTCAGTGGAAAAACTGGAAATATAAATTGATATATTAACTAGAGACAGGGAGATGGCAGCCATTACATTATCATTATCGAGGTCGTCATCGGTAATTGGAGTAAATCGAGAGATGTGAGTAATCCAATTGAAAAAAATCATCATTTTTTCTGTTCATATTGAGGCCATCCAAATACTTTGGCTATTTTTTCTCCACTTCACTTCAAAAAATCTTACAAAGAGTGAAAATGTCCCATATTTCCAGAATTCTTTAAAAATCAAATCAGAGAAACTTCTTGTTCTCCGTATATACTACCAATTATCAATGTTTTTTCATTTAAGACTCACATTTTTTGTCTCTCGAGTATTTTCCTTCTTTAATAGTTCCATAAAAGTCCCTCAAATCACACGAGACATTGATTCAGCGCGATAATGCAGAAGCCTCCCGCTTTTTATTTTTAATATCCGCCGCCGGTCCCAGTTTGACGAGTTTTATCGTAACAGGAAGGGAAACATACATCCCCGAGGGACTCGAAGTCAACTCGCGATTTTATTTCGATTTTTTACACCGGAGACGCAGTCACAACAACCTTATCCCCAGGAAATAAATACCCGTCAAATTCAGGGGGATGGTTCCACATGATTGAGTTATCAGTGGCGTGTGGGCAATCATTCAGACGGTTGATTCTCATTTCCTAATGGACTCACCGCTCAGAGGGCTCCACTGATGATGGAATCGAAGGGTGGATTCAGATTGGTAACCATTTAGCCGATATACTGCATACTCTCGACGCTCACTCGAGTTACTCCGGCATCAATATTTGAGTGGAAGTAACCGTCATTTCCTTTTCCCCGATAGATCGTTCCCTTTGGAGAGCAAATAGATGGGAAAAGAGACTGTGAAAGCGAGTGTCTTCAGGACGTCTTAGTTTCAGACTTAGTGAGACACAAGCATGTGTGTTATGAGCTGACTTCATGACGACTGAAAGTTCAAATGTCTTTAAATGAAACGTTTTATGTCACACGGTGATAACAGTATTATTTGACGAATGTGATTATTAGGGTAGC